CCCTTTTTTGGCCGCTAGCGGCGAAAATCGGTCGATTTTTGGCAGGTAGCGGTGAAATTCGCGCGATATTTGCCCGCAAGCTGCAAAAATCGCATGGTTTCTGGCCGCTAGCGGCGAAAATCAGTCGATTTTTGCCAGCTAGCGTCGAAAATAGCACGGTTTTTGACAGCTAGAGGCGAAAATCGCGTTATTTTTGGCCGGTAGCGGCAAAAATCGCGATTTTTGCCCGCCAGCTGCGAAAATCGCATGGTTTTTGGCCGCTAGCGGCGAAAATCGCGCGGTTTTTGGCCGGTAGCGGCGAAAATCGCGCGATTTTTGGCCGCTAGCGGCGAAATTCGCACGATTTTTGGCAGCTAACGGCGAAATTTGCATGATTTTTGGCCGCTAGCGGCGAAAATCGCCCCATTTTTGGCCGCTCGCGGCGAAAATAGCCCCTTTTTTGGCCGCTAGCGACGAAAATCGGTCGATTTTTGGGAGGTAGCGGCGAAATTGGCGCGATTTTTGCCCGCCAGCTGCAAAAATCGCATGGTTTCTGGCCGCTAGCGTCGAAAATAGCGCGGTTTTTGGCCGCTAGCGGCGAAAATCGCACGGTTTTTGCCCGCTTGCGGTGAAAATCGCGTTATTTTTGGCCGGTAGCGGCAAAAATCGCGATTTTTGCCCGCCAGCTGCGAAAATCGCATGGTTTTTGGCCGCTAGCGGCGAAAATCGCGCGGTTTTTGGCCGGTAGCGGCGAAAATCGCGCTATTTTTGCCCGCCAGCTGCAAAAATCGCATAGTTTCTGGCTGCTAGCGGCGAAAATCGCGCGATTTTTGGCCGCTAGCGGCGAAATTCGCACGATTTTTGGCCGCTAGCGGCGAAATTTGCACGATTTTTGGCCGCTAGCGGCGAAAATCGCCCCATTTTTGGCCGCTAGCGGCGAAAATAGCCCCTTTTTTGGCCGCTAGCGGCGAAAATCGGTCGATTTTTGGCAGGTAGCGGTGAAATTCGCGCGATATTTGCCCGCAAGCTGCAAAAATCGCATGGTTTCTGGCCGCTAGCGTCGAAAATAGTGCGGTTTTTGGCCGCTAGCGGCGAAAATCAGTCGATTTTTGCCAGCTAGCGTCGAAAATAGCACGGTTTTTGACAGCTAGAGGCGAAAATCGCGCAATTTTTGGCCGGTAGCGGCGAAAATCGCGATTTTTACCCGCTAGCTGCGAAAATCGCATGGTTTTTGGCCGCTAGCGGCGAAAATCGGGCGGTTTTTGGCCGGTAGCGGCGAAAATCGCGTTATTTTTGCCCGCCAGCTGCAAAAATCGCATAGTTTCTGGTCGCTAGCAGCGAAAATCGCGCGATTTTTGGCCGCTAGCGGCGAAATTCGCACGATTTTTGGCAGGTAGCGGCGAAATTCGCGCGATATTTGCCCGCAAGCTGCAAAAGTCGCATGGTTTCTGGCCGCTAGCGTCGAAAATAGCGCGGTTTTCGGCCGTTAGCCGCAAAAATCGCCCGATTTTGGGCCGCTAGCGGCGAAAATCGCACGGTTTTTGCCCGCTAGCGGCGAAAATCGCACCATTTTTGGCCGGTAGCAGCGAAAATCGCGATTTTTGCCCGCCAGCTGCGAAAATCGCATGGTTTTTGGCCGCTAGCGGCGAAAATCGCACGATTTTTGACCGATAGCCGCGGAATTTGCACGATTTTTGGCCGCTAGGGGCGAAAATCGCCCCATTTTTGGCCGCTAGCGTCGAAAATAGCACGGTTTTTGGCCGCTAGGGGCGAAAATCGCGCTATTTTTGGCCGGTAGCGGCGAAAATCGTGATTTTTGCCCGCCAGCTGCGAAAATCGCATGTTTTTTGGCCGCTAGCGGCGAAAATCGCGCTATTTATGCCCGCCAGCTGCAAAAATCGCATAGTTTCTGGCTGCTAGCGGCGGAATTTGCACGATTTTTGCCCGCTAGGGGCGAAAATCGCACGATTTTTGGCCGCTAGCGGCGGAATTTGCACACGATTTTTGGCCGCTATGGGCAAAAATCGCCCCATTTTTGGCCGCTAGCGGCGAAAATAGCCCCTTTTTTGGCCGCTAGGGGCGAAAATCGCGCTATTTTTGGCCGGTAGCGGCGAAAATCGCGATTTTTGCCCGCCAGCTGCGAAAATCGCACGATTTTTGGCCGCTAGCGGCGAAAATCGCCCCATTTTTGGCCGCTAGCGGCGAAAATAACCACTTTTTTGCTGCTAGCGGCGAAAATCGGTCGATGTTTGGCAGGTAGCGGTGAAATTCGCGCGATATTTGCCCGCAAGCTGCAAAAATCGCATGGTTTCTGGCCGCTAGCGTCGAAAATAGCGCAGTTTTCATCCGCTAGCGGCGAAAATCAGTCGATTTTTGCCACCTAGCTTCGAAAATAGCACGGTTTTTGACAGCTAGAGGCGAAAATCGCGCTATTTTTGGCCGGTAGCGGCGAAAATCGCGATTTTTACCCGCCAGCTGCGAAAATCGCATGATTTTTGGCCGCTAGCGGCGAAATTCGCACGATTTTTGGCCGCTAGCTGCGTAATTTGCACGATTTTTGGCCGCTAGGGGCGAAAATCGCCCCATTATTGGCCGCTAGCGGCGAAAATAGCCCCTTTTTTGGCCGCTAGCGGCGAAAATCGGTCGATTTTTGGCAGGTAGCGGTAAAATTCGGGCGATATTTGCCCGCAAGCTGCAAAAATCGCATGGTTTCTGGCCGCTAGCGTCGAAAATAGCGCGGTTTTCGGCCGCTAGCGGCGAAAATCAGTCGATTTTTGCCAGCTAGCGTCGAAAATAGCACGGTTTTTGGCCGCTAGAGGCGGAAATCGCGCTATTTTTGGCTGGTAGCGGCGAAAATCGCGATTTTTGGCCGCCAGCTGCGAGAATCGCATGCTTTTTGGCCGCTAGCGGCGAAAATCGCGCGGTTTTTGGCCGGTAGCGGCGAAAATCGCGCTATTTTTGCCCGCCAGCTATAAAAATCGCATAGTTTCTGGCCACTAGCGGCGAAAATCGCGCGATTTTTGGCCGCTAGCGTCGAAAATAGCACTTTTTGGCAGTTTTTGGCCGCTAGCGGCGAAATTTGCACGATTTTTGGCCGCTAGCGGCGAAAATCGCCCCATTTTTGGCCGCTAGCGGCGAAAATAGCCCCTTATTTGGCCGCTAGCGGCGAAAATCGGTCGATTTTTGGCAGGTAGCGGTGAAATTCGCGGGATATTTGCCCGCAAGCTGCAAAAATCGCATGATTTTTGGCCGCTAGCGTCGAAAATAGCGCGGTTTTCGACCGCTAGCGGCGAAAATCAGTCGATTTTTGACAGCTAGCGTCGAAAATAGCACGGTTTTTGGCCGCTAGAGGCGAAAATCGCGCTATTTTTGGCCGGTAGCAGCGAAAATCGCGATTTTTCCCGCCAGCTGCGAAAATCGCTTGGTTTTTGGCCGCTAGCGGCGAAAATCGCGCGGTTTTTGGCCGGTAGCGGTGAAAATCGCGCTATTTTTGCCCGCCAGCTGCAAAAATCGCATAGTTTCTGGCCGCTAGCGACGAAAATCGCGCGATTTTTGGCCGCTAGCGGCGAAATTCGCACGATTTTTGGCCGCTAGCGGCGAAAATCGCCACATTTTTGGCCGCTAGCGGCGAAAATAGCCCATTTTTTGGCCGCTAGCGGCGAAAATCGGTCGATTTTTGGCAGGTAGCGGTGGAATTCGCGCGATATTTGCCCGCAAGCTGCAAAAATCGCATGGTTTCTGGCCGGTAGCGTCGAAAATAGCGCGGCTTTCGGCCGCTAGCGGCGAAAATCAGTCGATTTTTGCCAGCTAGCGTCGAAAATCGCGCGGTTTTTGGCCAGTAGCGGCGAAAATCGCGCTATTTTTGCCCGCTAGCTGCAAAAATCACATAGTTTCTGGCCGCTAGCGGCGAAAATCGCGCGATTTTTGGCCGCTAGCGGCGAAATTCGCGTGATTTTTGCCCACTAGCGGCGAAATTCGCACGATTTTTGGCCGCTAGCGGCGAAATTTGCACGATTTTTGGCCGCTGGCGGCGAAAATCGCCCCATTTTTGGCCGCTAGCGGCGAAAATAGCCCCTTTTTTGGCCGCTAGCGGCGAAAATCGGTCGATTTTTGGCAGGTAGCGGCGAAATTCGCGCGATTTTTGCCCGCCAGCTGCAAAAATCGCATGGTTTCTAGCCGCTAGCGTCGAAAATAGCGCGGTTTTCGGCCGTTAGCCGCAAAAATCGCCCGATTTTTGGCCGCTAGCGGAGAAAATCTCACTGTTTTTGGCCGCTAGCTGCGAAAATCGCGTTATTTTTGGCCGGTAGCAGCGAAAATCGCGATTTTTGGCCGCCAGCTGCGAAAATCGCATGGTTTGGCATCCCTCCCAACTTCACTAGCCTAAAAAAAAAAAAAAAAAAAAAACTGCCCATCCTGACTGGGGATCCTAAGATCCTGCCTCCTGGCACTCTGATGGTAAATCTTTAAGCTAGACACATCCTAGGCCTTTCATCAGGGCAAATACCTGAAAAGCTCTACATTCTTCCCTGGGTACTGGGACACCAGCATGGCTTTGGTTGGCTGTTTGCTGACTTGGGGAGACTAGCTGGGGAAAGGCCTGGGCAAACTGCTCATCAAGCTTGGCCTCTAATGTGTCATGTCAGCTGTGGGAGATCCTAGGAAGACAGGCCTACTGTGGCTCCCAGATGAGTTACATGCCGGTGCTGGTGTGGTCTGGCCTCCATCACCTAGTTCTTGGGGATAAGCTGACAATTTAATGTTTTTGGAACCAGTGGAGATGAAATGTCTCCAATAACATGGGGAAGGCTAAATAGGCCTGGTGTTTGTAATGTGAAGGCTAGTGAATTGGTTTGAATTATCAACCAATACACTGAGAAAATAGAACAGGGGAATGAAAGAGGAAGGGAAGAAGAGGGAAGTAAAAAAATATTCAAATAAAATACAAGGACAGGTCATTTTTTTATAACATTCTCCAGATCAGTAATTTCATACCACTGCCATAAGGATAAATAATATTTACATTACAAAGTGAAGTGTATTTATTTGTACATTTCTCATCCAGGCCTCCAGAAAGGGCCGCAGGTTTGAAAGAAGTTATAGCAAGAGTATCTACTTATCTGCATGTCAAGAAAATAACATGTGAAATATCCAGCACTGAACAATGAGATTTCAGACACACACTTTACACAAATACATAGCTCATGATCAGATAGAAAAAAATACAACAAAATTACATTACACTGAATGTTCTCTTGAATTTTAGACATCAAAGATATATAATTGGGATATTTTTGTTAACATTACAGCAAACATTCATGAAATGCAAAAAGAAATTTAATCAAAGGATTAAAAAAAAAATAAAAAAAAAATCACAAATCTGAATACAATAATTCCTTACTAAGAAGGAATTACAAATACCATTCAGGGATATCAATATCTAATATCCTATGACAGTAAATTGACCATAAAGTTTCTTATCATTTACATCACCGAGCTCTGAAAATATCTCATTTATACTCAAAATTACCATCAGGGATAACCATAATAGAGCAACCTACTAACCTCTTACCTCCGAAGCTGCTGCTTAGCCGTTCAAAAATAAATAAGAGATAAGATAAATGATAACTTAAATCCACCATGACAGGGGATGGTTGCCTTCTAGCTAAGCATTAGTGGTTCCCTGGGTTAGGTTGGATTTGGACGACGAAGTGGCTGGCTGGTTTTATCTTAAGAGACAGACATTAGGATGTGGATAATCTAAATCCACCAATGGTCACTGAGGAGTCAACATCTCGAGTCTTATGTTTATCTTCCATATGGTTTATTATTTTTTTATTTACAGTGTTAAAAAGTCTCATACAGAAGTAATGATTAAGCCTCAAAATTGCTGACCTCATTACATACAACTAGGCATTATATTTAATAACTAATCATATGGACATGGATATAACTATCTATATAAATATATACAAGGACATCCACATATAATCATGATCTACATGTATTTATATCCATAAAAAGTTTTAATGAAGCTGTGCCCCAAAATATCCCATGGCCAGAAAATTGACAAATTGGATCAATCTCTAGTCAACCCATTTAATACAACTTTTTGTTCTTCTAATAATTGAGTACCAGCAATCTTTCAAAGTATGTTTCTGAACAATTATCAAATGAATTCTTTTGTATTGTATGATGTAATCATTGTGCCTCACAGATTCTCATTATGAATTATCACATTAAAAGCTCCAAATGTCAACTCTCTTAGCCACTGGGAACCATCTATCTTTGGCTTCTGAACTTTCATTCCTACAAGATAAGCAAATTTGGGTTTCTTAGTTGACTTGCTTGCCACATGATCTAATTGCTAAGCAAATTAGAGATAGGCAATAAAGTGTTACAAGAAACTCTTCAAGGCTAGTCTTGTAAAGTTTATGGAAAAATCATTCACGTCTTCCTGTTAAAGAGGCTAAGCCAGTATGGGACTAGGTTCATCACCTCGTGCTAAGCAGATTAGCGCTTAAACAGCAGAGACTTGAGCGTCCTCTTCTTCGTCTGCAAATTTAACAATACATATATACTTTCACTGACATATACTAATGATTTTTTGGTTTTGTTATACAATATAAAGAAATATTTGAAGAAATAACAATTCACTCATAACAAAATTCTTAACATGCTTTTGTAGTAAATTCTTGTGTGTTGATTGACTAAGTGCCTGAAATAAAGGCAACTATTAATATAGTTAATTTGATTTCCAGCTACAAAGATTAAAATAATATGCAAATAATCAAAAGGTTATTTTTGCAAAATTCAATTCTTTTTGCATTGCGCAATGAAGTGCAAATAGGTTTAAATTTAATCATTTATATTTTTTACACAAACATGGAGAACACTATTTTTTTAAATAATTCCAAATCCCTGATATCAGTTCTATATACAATATTCTAAACAATATATTTAAATTTAACTTTATTATATTACAGAGCCTAAAGCATATCCCTCCCTCCCCCCCCCCCCCATACAGAAAAACTGTACACCTTACCATCATGGTGTGTCTGAGGATAATATTGAACACCATCGTGAGAAAGAGCACGTCCCATCTGTTTCATTCTGAGCTGGGTTGCTATATAGTCGGGAGGAACACCCGGAGCTCCACGCCGAATACGCGCGCTACCCATACCACCCATGCCTGATGGAAGGATATTCTCAATTATTTATCAGCATTACTCCTAATGATGTAATACAATGCAATGAAAAATTACTTCATCTACTCATACTATCATGCCTTCGTCCATATTAACCATAAAGTGCCCCATGCAAGTGGTTGTAAACTAAAAAATATCTAGACAAAACAAATGAATGAACAGTGCTTACCTGATACACATTCATGCATTTTGATATCTTTTATGATTGTACAAGCTCAACCAGATGTCATAACGCACACCACAATGTGTAGCGTATGGAGGAGAAATATTTGTCATATATATGCTCTGCCAAATATTTCTTTCACTAGTTCATTGCTCATTTAATCAAACAATAATCAGTGGGCTGTCTTTTCAGATACAAAGCATACACATGTTCACACAACACATCTGCTCACCACACTATGCTATGTAATACCCCGTTCAAACTGTCTTAGTACTCAAAGTTTACAACTTGGTTACTCAAATTTTTTGACACATTTGAATTACTGTATTTGTATTGATTTTATACTGTTATCACCACAATTTTGATTCTTGGCATTAAACCAATGAATTACTCTCAATCAATCTACTCTTCTTCAAACTATACAGTTGACTTGCTTTTTGCATTATTAATGATAGCAAAAAAAAAGATACTCTTGATGTATATTGAGTTAAGACATGCAATGATATACTGATATCTTGTATACATGTATATATATTCAAATGTTAATTAACCATTAAAAAATAGCATGCAGTAACATAGCTGGGTTAGATGTATTTTATGTCAAGATCTGGTTATAACATCAACTGCAAAATTTTGTTATTACCTACAAGAAGAAACATGGAAACAACTGTGAAAACACTGATACAGTAATAAGAAATAATTAATGTTGGAAGGGATTATAAATGTATATATATATATATATATGCAACAATGATCACAAAAACACTGATCCAAGTATGCAGAATAACCACATGTGAAAAATAGAGAATGCTTAATGCGTTTTCGGTTAATTCGCCTACATCAGAACAAAGTGGAATGAAGCTTCTTTCTACTTTGTTTATTTCACAGAATTTGTCATACATCTCATCTATTTCCTTGCCTAGCAACAAGTCTTTCCTATTAAATTCATTAAAGAATTTGCCAAGTTCTTCATAGTGTCCTCTCTTAAGATCAAGTTTGTCAACCATTTCAATTTTGCCCTACTCGTCTTAATTATATTGCATAGCAAAATTAATTTCCAATAGGACATGGTCACACTTTCCCAAGGAAGGAAGGTACTGAATGTCAAATATCTCCTCCTTTCCTGGTAAATACCAAATCTAGCAAGGATGGAGCATCACTTTCTCTCATCCTTGTGAGCTGTTTTACATGTTGATACATGAAAGCTCCCAGAATGAAGTTCATGAATCAGCCAGGTTAAAAATTCTCTGTTCTTGTTTCAGAGTTTTCCAAGTCTATCAATTTTAAATTTGTCACCAAACATCAACAATCTTGATTTATCTTTATTGGTTTTACAATTATTTCTCTCGTGATCTTTACAAGGCCCTCTCTTTTTGTCATCGAGCTCCTCCTCAGTCCATGTATTGCTTGCTGATGGACTGTATACAGTAATGATTATTATTTTATTGTTGACTGCAAATCGCCATCGCCATGATATCTACTTTTCGATGGTTGTCAAGTATCAATTCTCTAGCCTTTATCGTTCCTTCACCGGGATTGCAACACCTCCACCTTTTCTAATTTTTCAGTCACATCTCTAAATAGTATAATCCCTCAGGAATACCATCTAATTTCAATTTTTATCCTCCAATTTTGTCTCTGCTATTGCGACAATATCCTGCATCTTCCATTGTATATCTTTTAAATCCAGTATTTTTTTTACATTACCCCATCTATGTATACACAATTGTCAGGAACAAGTTCCCTCGTTTACCCTTCACACTTCTTTCCACTTAACGAGTTTGTTGATTTGCTTTTGTGTACCATCTAACCGGCTTCCCGATCCCTATCACCTTTTAGAAAAAAAGAATTTTGTTCTTCCTCATTTCTATTATCATTTAAGCATTTTGCTTCAACAAGACTCGGTTTCATCTTCTCTGTCTTCCTTAGAAAGATCTCGTCCGAATGTTTCGCATCCTCATCATTTTGCAATTTCATTGCATTACTAAGAACTTCTGTCAATTGCTTCACTCCATTCAGTGTCATCCTTAAGGGGCGAGACTTACCTTTTATATAATTTCCTATTCTCCGAAAATTAATGACATTTTCCTTCATTGACAGGCCTTCCCCAAAACCTACTATTTTCTCGATGTTTTTTCCTCCTCCGATGCTCTACCTACCTAAGACGGTAAAGGTAATTACTGTACCTAAGTGTAGTTACAGGATGAGAGCTAAGCTCATGGTGTCCCGTCTTCCCATCACTCTGTCATAACGCTTTAAAATTACCGACGGTTTTGGTTTCTACCATCTCACCTAACTTGTTCCAACCATCTACCACTGTTTGCAGTAGTGAACGCTATGCTGTGCTGACATGTTCTTAATGTAATTATTTATATGAAAAATATACTTTTTGTATTTGATCTTTCTACCTAAATAGTTTAGAGTACTGTACAGTACTGTATATGCACTGAGAAACAAAAAATTATTGGCCTTAAAATGTTAAACAAAATTAAGTTCCTTGAAACTGCTTGTCTAGTCTGGATCACCACACCACAAAGCCCAACTAGTATGATGGGCTTATTCCAAACTAATTTAAAAAAGCAAGAAAATATTTTATTAGATTTGTATCCAGTATCTGCTTCAAATGGTTATACACATATGTTACTAGTTAATGTGATTAACATCTTAATATTATGAATGATCCACATATCCTAACTTTCTCCCCTCCCCAGAAAGTAAATAATTTAACATTTTATTAATGTGTAGTAAAATTTTGTTAGCAACACAAACGTTCATAAGTAGTAATTAGTTATAGTAATACTAATTGCCAAGCATAAGCGTGCGATTATATTGTTAATGTTATATATCGTATAAACTACAGCACTACAGATCACGTCATATTGGATGTCGCTGCGTGCTGTTTCCTCGTCTTGGCTGATTATTGACCAAGCACAAGTTACTCTACTTAAATACAGACTATAAACTATTTAACATTATTATTATTATGTTAAATATTACTGTACATGTATTCAAGTAGAGAAAATTTGTCTATTACAGCAAACTAAGAAGTCATTCTGCACCTTATTATCTTGCAAGTATTAATACTGTATTGAGGTTAAACAAAATTAACAATGAATCAATTTGAATAAACCAGGATTATATTCGACTCTTGAAATAATTAATGTACAGTACAAGAGGTGAGGTGAATGCTTCCATAATATATAAGCATACGAATTCAAAATGCGCAATAAAGCATATTTATGTTGGCAAATGTCGCAGAAAAAAATAAAATTATAATTGCAACTGTTAATGCCTTAATGAAAATATTCACTCACCTGCTGCTGGGACAGGTGGCAGTACGGCCACTGCATGCGGGAAAGGGGGCCGCGACCGTGATTCTGTTGTGCATATAGCAAGAAGGCAAATCAAGATAAGCCATTGTGTTGCCAATGTGAAACAGGCAAGCCAATGAAAGGAGAAAGCTCGGTTATAGAACAACCATGTACAGTATAAGGAACAGTTTGTCAAATAGCCAACTTTTAGAACACTTTTGTACTTCTAATTCTCATTTTCTTGCAACTATTGTAAATCCAAATTTTAAAATTTAACTAATTTTATTTACATAAATTTAGAAATTAGATGACTGCCTCATATTTTAAAGTTAATGAATGGCTGAATAACATCAAGCAAACAAATGCAATGAAAGATTTCATTTGTTTGCCAATGAATTTATCATGAGGCAGATGATTAATAAATATTTCTGGCACAGTATATACACAGTATTTGTAAAAATATCTGATCATCATAAAGCAAGTGGCCCCATTTTTAAAGCGTGCTCATCCAAAAAAGTACAGAATGGCAATGTACAGCTTTCTCAACTGTATCCACGGCAAGTATGAATATGGGGGCGAGAACGTCCAGAAGTTTTCTCATCGGCCATGTTGCTCAACTGTTATTGCAAAAGTGAATCGTGGGCACAGTAATTTAATTTAGCAGACATTGTGCCATATTCTGGTTGAAAATGAAAATTTCTTGGTGTTTAGGAGCAAGAGTTGTTTCAGTCAATCAGAACATCTTCATACAGTACTTACAAAAGCTGTAAAAAGATTGTGAGCAAGATACCTTCAGTTTGTGCAAGAAAAAATTACAAAATGTAGTTTAATATGGACAGTGCCATGAGATAAGAGAGAGAGCGAGGAGAGTAGAAATGCTCACAGCTATATTTTCAACAAGCAAATGCTGTACAGTATAGTACCTTATGATAAACATTTTTGATGCCGTTTGTGTCACCGGACATACTCTATATTTTGTTTTTTATTGACCTGCCCAAAACGCTGTGCATACTAGTGGCTTTAGAAGAATGTAAACACATCATCATGCTATGTACTCTCATAAACCCAATGTAACTTCTTGTATATATATATATATATATATAAATAAATAAACTTCAAATTTCCCATTTTCATGAAAAAAAATTTTCACATCAGTCCTGCTCTTAAATAAGGGAAGGGAATCTTAAATAATTCCCCCCAGAAATTAATATTTCTGGGGAAGTTAGAAGGCAGTGAAGGCCAAAACCATCAGTAGTTTCAAAATGTCATGTGACAAGAGTACTGTACCAGGAAGGTGAGACACCACAAACGTAGCTCTCAATCTGTAACTACACAACTCTACATAGTGTGAATTTTGATAGAAGGTACCACTAATCCCAACCTTCAAAAGGGACAAGAACAAGCACTCTTAACGAAAATATTACAGAGATGCTCATTTCTGATCATTTATTTATACAAGCTCTTCACTACTGTACCAAAAATATAACCGTCACACCATACAACATAACACCACAACATACAATACTAATAACACTGGCTAGCATAACTTGTAAGCCTCCCTTCCATAAGATTGGTACAATGCAAGTACTGTACTTTCTGTTGTGGGGTACAGGCATAGTGGGAACAGCAAGAGGGATTCAAGTAAGACCAAATTTAGAGGGTACAATATAAGATAAGCAAACATGAATGGGAGAATTCAAGCACAGAAAAAAAAAAAACTGATACTTTATTTAGGTATCTACAAAAGTTGGGATAGACCATTAAAGAGAGTTATAAAATCTAACAATTTATCCTCAAGTTAAAGTCTTAAGGATATTAAGAATTCCAAGTATAGTACAAAACGTTATTCTACAATTACACGAGAAAGACACACAACCTCACACTTTGATAAAAACATGAAAATTGACACACACCTGGTTGATGAGAGTATCGTCGGTGGTGGGCTGGAGGAGAAGAGTGATAGAGGCAGTCGTAGCCTAGAACTCCTCCAACTTCCAGCGAGGAGGAGGAGTGTCCATCAAAATGGGTAGAGATGCCCGAGTCAGATTCACCCAGGCCTACATGACACTCGGTTGATGTCATTGAACCTGCACAATATAAATTTAGTATTTTCATAAGCAGTATTTTCATTAGTGACAGTGTGACCTTCACACCTTGATAACAGAAAAAAAAAAGATTATTCAAACTAACTAGTTATTGTACACCTTGAAACATCTTTTGATATACTGGTACTGTACATATTTCAATTTTATGAAATTGTAAAAAAAAAAAATCAAAGAACATTTACCATACACAAAATATGTAATACTAAGCTGAACTGCCTGTAAGTCAGAGGGCAAATAAATTTGTCACTAGCACTTATAATGTAAGCTGTTTGAATATCCCAACATTTTAGGAGTGGAAAAATCTTTCAAGCATTATATAAAATCAGAGATTAAGATTACTGTATTTAACACATGAAATACTCTAAATGAGGTAATTATCAAAAGGAGCAGTGTACATGAAGAATCCTAATGAACCACGGACAATGTAATAATAGCGGAGGGTTTGGGGACCATCGCCACACTCCTTTTTCCAATAGCTTGGTCTCTCATCAGGCCTCAAGAATGCAGCATGTTTTTTTTTTCTTCATTGTCCCATTGTAAAAATAAATGTAACAATAATTTAGGACTTAAGGCCACATTACTAATTGCAGTAATCTTTGATTCTGTTACTCTGAAATATATATACAACATGCTGGCGAATCATATCGATTTGTCTGCCCATCTACCTGCCTGCTGTGTGTATAACACTATAAAAATGTTTAAGTTTCGATATCTGATATCTTGTATACTACCATTTAAAATAAATATCTTATTTAATACAAACTTGCTTATAAATTGTAACACCGAGGAAGTCACGAACCATGCATTTACTGATGAAGTGTATGCATCACAGATCAGTTCATACGTAGTAGTTATATTATGATCCACAGGTCACATTTTACCATTGCTGTATTCCCAACAGTGGCTGGTCAAATTACAAAATTTACAGGCTTTTTTAGGGTTTCCCACCAACTAATTATACAAATTGAAATACAAACTGATTGAATAATACAATATTCATAACACAACCAGTCTCCGTGTAGTAGTTGTAAGACACTCGCCTGGCGTTCTGCAAGCGCTTTGTCATGGATTCGTATCCTGGCCGGGGAAAGATTTACTGGGTGCAAATCCTTAACCGTAGCCAATGTTTAACCCAACAGTAAATTGGATACTTGGTTGTAAAAATGATTCTTCATGGGGGTCGTATTCCAAGGACTTGCCCGAAATGCTACGCATACTAGTGGCTGTACAAGAATGTAACAACTCTTGTATACATCTCTCTCTCTCTCTCTCTCTCTCTCTCTCTCTCTCTCTCTCTCTCTCTCTCTCAAAAAAAATTCTTTAATTGGCTACTTCGGTTATGTGTTTATGAGGTAAAAATCACTGTCTAGCCAAATATCCTGGACTGGAATTAGATTTTTATAACCAACACCAGGTTTCATGTGTAAGCCTTTATAGGAAATTTATTTTGCTTCAAATATCTGACTTATAGGCGAGTACAGCATATACAGTAAAATAAAAACATTTATATAATTTATTCACAAAAAGAATTTGTATAAAATAAAAAAATAATATAATGGAAACCCAGTCAAACAGTATCTAATCAAACAGAAGATAAAATGGACTGGAAGGCATCTCTTTTCAGTTGTAAAATCAGTTGCAGTGGAAAATAATTGAAATCCAGCAGAGTGAATCACATTTGTTGGACTGTAATATGGTATCTAAAAACAAATAAATTCAACAAAATATTACAAGTCAGATAGTCTCCCTAAATACCAAAGGACTAAAAATATATGGTCAGGGCAAAGCCAAACACTGCAACAGTACCAAGGTCTAGTTTAAACAAGCCTCTGCAGATTCATGATGCTTGGGAATACTGTACAGAAGAATATCAACTCTAAAACCCATTATTCTCTAATAAGCAACTTTAAGGGCTCCTTAAATTAAATGCAACCAAGTAATCCTTTGGCAACTGTAAAACAGCACATCCCCAGATCACCACTACCGACTGGTTGACCAGTCCAGCATCGAGGAGGCCTGGACGACGACTGGGCTGTGGGATTGCTAAGCCCCGAAATCATCTCAAGGTAACCTCAAGGTATGCTCCGAGTATATATCCTGTCCTTTGGAACCAGTTCGATCTTACCGTAAGTAGTGACCAATAGTCATGCTCAGAAATGAGCTCTTTGTATGAATTTTAAGCCTATTTTTTTCCACATGAATTTGGTATCAAATTGCAAAAATATGTTCAACTGTTTACATAGTTTAAAACCTTATAAATATGCCCATATTTTAGCAATAAATAATTAAAATATGAATGGAACAGAATATCAGTGATGCAACAGCACAATTCAAAATAAATATTTGTTTGAGTGGGTTTCCAATGTATTGCATAAAAACTTGTAGGATGAAAAAAGTGCAATATATACTACCCATACAGTACAGTATTAAGTCTTAAATCTGGTAAAGAAAATCTGGTAAATAAATTAAACCAAAATTTAAATTAATTTTAAAGGAAGGATTCAGCTTACTGAAGTAAAGGTAATGATGAAAAGAAACTGCTAAGGCAGCTTACTGAAAGAAAGAAACTACCATTTGAAAAGAAAACAAAATGCAGAGCAGGAGCCTTAATTTGATCAATGTTTTGCCGAGACAGCTTCTTCGCAAATAACGGAATAGATACACAGTAAATACATTGCACAAGACAGTGGTGTGTCAATTAACATCATGATGGATGAACAGCAAACTGTTGCTTGGCAGGCTTTGAAAGAACTGCATTTAAAGCAGTATACAAAAACATTTCAGAACATAATACAGAACTTACGTTTAACTAATTTAACTTCATTAAAAGCCAATGTGATGACCACAATGTACCTTTGTTTGAAAATGTTTATATTAAATTGCTTTAATGCCAAACTTTTGGCCAAATACATTGTTATCAGTACCATGTATGTTCATTTTATCAGCCATATGATGGGATAAGCCCACAGCACACACCTGCCTCTAACTTTGTGTCCGTTCCTTTTTTCTTCATAAGATTACCGACAGACTGAACTGGCTGGAATAATTCTTGTGCCGCTGTTGCTATTACCATGAATAAGATCATGTCTGATACCGAACCATTCAGTATCACAATTTGTTTAAGAAAAGGTAATTATTGGGAGATAGTGCTAAGCCAACATGACTATATTTGCTTAATACATGTTTCCTTCCTGTTTAATCTGCTATGAATAACAAAAGCTTTCTTTTTAACATTAAGAATTAAATATGGAAGGTATTTTAACTCATTTAAAGCTTAGAACATTTTATCTAATTGTTCTTCATATTATCAAAGTACAAAGAAAACACAATGTCTACCTTGGTTATGTCAAGAGTTGAATAATGCACAAAATCATTCAGAAACCCCTTCAAATTCAATTAATTTTCATGCCTGGATTGTACTATATAACTCCCAATATGTACCCATATCCATTTTTCCAGCAAAAGCCAAACTGGCAAAATATTGAATAAATTAATGTCCCTGATGCAGTTGGTAGAGTCTGATCAACTCAGTAAGATAACACCATCTTCCTTTAGTTAAATAATAATAATTATAAATAGCACAAGTACATTTACCCATCAGTTTTAATATAGCACTGTGGAGTGATCATGCAGCCACTGACGTTCTCCATAAGGATTCCATGCAGTGACACGGGAAATAAGAAAAGTGTGGATGAAGAAAAGAAAGGGGGTAAATTGCAATGGTGATAAAAGCTGAAAATGTGTGGGATTTTTCGCATGTAAATAGACTGGCTTTTTAAATTATAAAAGATAGGAAGAGTTACAAAACCAAACAGATCTCACAAAAATTTTCATATATTTTAGACATATTCAACTTCACTGTCATTGCCATAATCATCACAGTACGTCATAGGTGCTAGATGAACAGGACTACAGGGCTGTGCCTTATCGTCTTCAGCTGGCAAGACTGAGGACGGAGTTACATTTGTGTTTGCTACTTTAGTAACAGAGTTTGGCTGCCGTGGACAGTAATCCCCGGGAACTATTTGAATGTACTTTTGTACACCATTATCTTCATCAAGGCGTCTGCATTGCAATGCTGGTAGTATCTTTCCTTCCAAGGTCAATGTTAAAGGAGCACTGTTCCTTCGATAAATTCCAGGAACAGGTGAAGATACTGTTGAGGATTTCGTTATAACTGGACTTGCATCATGTGATGGTGACGTTTTTGCCTCTTCTATGGGGGATAACATTGGAGCACTATTCCTTCTACGTTTGTACTCTTTACTGAAAGATAAACTAGTAGGCCTAGGGCATGGTACATTTGTTGCCTTAGAAAATTGATCTAAACATGGTTGATAGGGTTTCTTTACTGCATTATGCTGACAGCTGATCTGTGAAGCTGGATATTGGCCATTAGAAGACGTCTTGTGCATTTCTTCTAACTCGTTTATTACTGAAGTAAGTTTCTCTGCAATTCGCTTGTGGATTTCAGACTGGCCTTTGTACTTCATTAGACTGTTAACACATTCAGACAAGACAGAGCTATCCAGCTGCTCTTGGTCGAGGCTACTCGATTCGAGAACTTCTCGACTCGAACTGTCTAATGTATTACTAAACATTGGGGAACCAAGAGAATTTAGATGCTCTGAGATATGTGGGTTTTCATTTTCTTGGCACAAGGTTTGAAATTTAGACTTTTTAAACTTTTCAAACCACGATGCCTTCTTTGAAAAGGTTTGAAAGGCAGCTGGACACACATGAGAACTGTTGTGATTGCCTGAGTTCTCTCCCTCATTCTTCCCTTTTCTTGTCAAAGGACCTCCATTATTTACTGATAATGACAGATCTGGTATACTGTTTGTTACAGCCATCTGGTGTAAGTATTTTCCATTAACTTCTATATCTAATGGGTCACTGTTTGACAAAAGCTTTGGTTTATTTACCTGATATACTCTATTGGCTTCACATTTTCTTAAAGGTTTAATAGTTTTCACAACAGCTGGAAAATGGGTTTCCTTACCATTTGGAAATCTTTCCAGGGTTAAATATCTCTTTTCACAAATTTCTGCTTGTAAGTCCTGACAGGAAAGCCTTTTTTCCAAACAGAAGCGAGGGGGTAAAGAAACATCATCAGTAGTAAAATTGTGACTCTTACTCAATCTAATTTTCCTTTTGAAAATTGTGCCGAGAGAACTAGAATCTGACACTTTTGACTGAAATGCTTTCATCAAACTGGGACACTTAACCTTTAAAGAATGTAATTCCTTCGGGCACTGAGAATCTGTAAGAGTATAATTTCTTGTATTTGGTCTATCAATTACTTTATCTAAAAAATCTTCACTTTGACTTTTGGTGAATAAAGACCTAGCAAGGGTCGGGGACAATATAACATCCACCATACTGCTTTGTTTACTATCTAGTTTTGGGGAAGAGTTTTTGCTAGTATCTTCACACAGCACATCCTCGCTTTTGCTTCTGAAGATTTTGTGAAAAACCCCCATCTTTGTATTTGCCAATTTCTGTCTTGTGGCAGTCAAGTTCTGTAATTTTTGCGTGGAAAATGAAGCTTTGTTGTTGTAAGCGACACACAAATCTTTCTGATTAAAATTTGGAGAGTTCAGACTTAAAACAGGGTTATTATTAATAGATGTGCTATCTCTTTTATTGGCAACTGAGGGCATTTTTAAACTATTTAATGAGGTATCTTTTAAACTGTTTAATGGAATGTCATTTTGGCAGGTGTCTGGGAGTTGAGTAGGTCTTTTAATAAAAGTGTCTTTGTAACTTATGTCATTATGACGGGTAATGGAGGTGTCTTGTACACTAGGTAATGATATGTCTTTCTCGTTGGTGAATAGTGTGTTTTTTTGGATTGTGTATGACATTACTTTTTGACTACTGTTTGAGATACTTGGCCTACCAATTGAGGGAAAAATTTTATCATCAAAATTCAAACTGTCCTTGTTATCAAAAAGTGGTTCTTGAATGAAGGATGAATAAGGCTCTTTAAATTCATCCTTTAAACAACCTTCATAATGAGAAAGAGTATTATCTCTTGGTTTGTTTACAGCCATCTGCATGCTTAGGTCCTTTAGGTTTTGTGCCTTGGTGTCTTTGGGTATTCCAGACACAGGCAACACTTTGGCTACAGGAGTGGAAATTTGGCATTCCAAATCATCAGGAATGTTTAAATTAAAATCTATGGTTGAAGTATCTATTTGGCTGGGGTCTGTTCCAGGAGTTGGAAGACTACGGGAAAACTGATCATATCTATAAATTGAATTTAATCTTCTCTTTGTTTTCATAGGATGAACGGGAAGTGAGCTGTTAGTTCTCATAGGCTCACTGACACCAGAATTACTATTATAACTGCTGTCAAAACTGCTACTTATATGTTTTAATTTAAGCATTAATTTCTTTTGCTTTTGAAGCAGTTTAATTTTTGGATTTTTAATGGATACCAAGGGAGTAGAGTCATTTGAAATAGATGTGGATTTTCTCGTGGCATTATTGCTAGAGGTGGAAAGTTTCATAACAGAGGCTATGAGGGCAGAGCAAGCAGCAGCATGCACAAAAGAGGGGGAGGACACTACTGTGGATGAAGAAACTGTTAAAGTGTTTACAGGTAAAGTGCTTTCATATGCTGAGCGAACAGGATAAGGTGCAGGTTCTAGCAGCATACCTGAGGTGTGGGATTTATGGAGTTTGGATAGGGAGGTGACAGAGGAAGACTCTGCACTAAGGTCCACAGGTACTGCATGGGTGTCTGAATGAGAACGCTCATGAGTAGAGCGAGAATTATTGTTGGTCATGGCTCCCCTGCGGGGAGGGCCAGGGGAAGGGGTGGGAGAGAGTGAATGGTGGGTAGTGGTGGAGCGCGGGCCGTGATGAGGCTTCGTCTTGGGCTCGGCCAGGGCCTTCATCTTGCTTATGGACTGGGGAGATGTAGCTCCTGCAATATGAGGAGAGTGCTCAGAGAAAGTAAGCTAAACACTGCTCTTTAATAGCAAGAAAGTGTTAAGCATTGTTTAAGTGAACTCAAACAGTTATCAGTGAAGCCATAAGCTAAGCAAGATGTCATTACACACCTTGGTATCAATTCTGTATTCAATTGCAATTAATAAAGTCTCTTTACCAAATTTTGCTGTTTGTTTCTTTCCATCAGATGTCTGTGATGTTGAGGATGTTGAAGAGGTGGTGGATGGTGTGGGAGAATTAGGACGCTTTCTGGGTGGAGGATTAGTTGGTGGAGCACTATTTGAACCACTGCTGCTATTGCTGTTATGACTAACTGACCCACCAGCTGTTTTGTGGCCCTCTGAACCACCTTCACACTCATAGGACATGTTGCGAAGCTGCTCTTCATCCGTAATAATGCTCATGCGAGACAAGTACGCCTTCACTCGTCGAACCATTTGAGCCTGGTAATAAAGCATAATAAATTTAAACCGATATTAATTTCACAAGATACCTCACTCTTAGCAGAAAGAACATTATATTAAACAGCCCATCCTCCTGTTTAGGTAGTACTTATACTAACGAGACCCATTGTACATATATTGACGTAAAATGTAATTAGAAAGTAGAAATCTGTACTGTACTATTGAATTTGGACAAAACTGGAAAAGTTTTTGCACTGATGTTGCAAACTTAACCTAACCTCTCTAGGCCTAATACACACTATCTGAGGCCTAATATAGTACATGTGTGTGCTTTACTAGGCCTAGGAATATTTACGTTTGGTTTCTAACTTTATTTTTGTCGGACTCTACAAAGTGAATATTGTAGTACTGTACCAAATTCAACTAATTGTTCATTACGTCTATGTATTTACAATTATCCACATAGTTACAGAAAGTAATATCTAAACAGAAGGATGGGTTGTATAAAACAATGATTCTGTTACATGACATCTGTCCCTAAAATTTACACATGGAATGGTCAAGTGAATTTCTTTCATCATCTCTTACTCAAATAAAATATTTGCTAAAACTTATTTCTTTGCTAAAAACAGGTAGTTTCCTGCTGCTAGAAGCACACACACTTAAAATGGCACTTATCATTTGTTAATACAATCATTGAGAAAATCAACTGGAGCTCTGATATGACTTGAACCCGCAACCGAAAGAATTGCGGCCGCTGTGTAAATACAGTACTACCATTTTTATGCAAACATTCACACAATCAGTTTCCCATTTTCTCTGATATTACTACACGTTAGAGTATCCTCACGTTTTCTGTAATTCTTTGCACATTCAATAAATACACATTACTCCTGTAACTACCTAAGTGCATATTTTACCCTGTAACTATACGAGTGCATATTTTACCTTGTAACTATACCAGAGCATCTATTGCCACTAGCACTGCAACAGAGCATACATTGCCCTTGGAACTGCAACTATTAACCATCACTGCAGTGATGCTTCTATTACTCTTGCAGTAGTTCATTTATAGTCAACCAGTCTTCACACTCAAATCATATATATTTGTATGTTACAGGTATAAGACAACAAACTGAATGCTACTTAATAGAAATGCAAGAAAGGAAAATTAACACCTTTTCAGGACTTGCATATTAGCCCTAATAGTTTGGGTCTGTTTGAGCAGATTCATAAATATACATACAGTAAAGCCATACAAACTGGACACTTGTTAAACTGTGAGAATGAGCTGGCAACAATACATCTAATACAGGCATTGACATTAATGTAGCATTTGCTACAATGTAATATATTAATGTAATATTTGCTAAAATATATAACTATTTACAACTCCACACTACCTAAAACCTCACTTGTAATTAATTTTTACTCCAAAATCCCATGCTACTGTTAGAAATTTTATGTTATTCTCATTCAGTTATGCTTTGCTTGAGTATTGTGAATAATTCATAACTCTCAACAGCAGTTCTTACATCAGTAACAACGATCTCTGTATAACTTTTTCAGCAGTCAAGCAAAGTTCCTCATTTGCTGCTGCCATCCCAGGATGTCAGCTGTCATTTCTCTTATCAATTGAACAACCAATATATAAATACAAGCGTCACATCACATTTGACAATACTATACTTGCATACCAATACATTACGCACATGTCACTGAAAAAACAATATTTGATACAGACCTCTTCGTACATCTTCTTTTTATCAGGGGCAGCGGTAGACTTCTTACGCCTCTTAACTGTGGCAATCTGGTGTCCTCCAGCCGCCATCTGGTTGAGGGAGATTAATGCAGAACTTGGTGGTTGTCCGCCAGCATCTTGGATGTTGAACAAGTCCTGGGGAAAAACCAAATTATGAATTGGATACCAATTCAACAGTTAAAACTGTTTATATATTGATGCGCTGCAGGAGGCCAGACTGTTATACTGTTGTGTCAACATCTAAAAACTACTTAACATGCAGTTAGGAAATAATATATGCAGCATACCATGAAATAAAAAATATCCTAATTGGATGTGAAAATATTAACCATTAGAAAATTACAGAACTCTGAGGCTCATATTTCAGTGAGTTTTATCAAACAGTTAGCAGGTCCAAATTTTGAAACTCTACTTATACTCTACTTTGTTAGCCAGAATATAGAGATTCTTCATTAAGTAAAACAGTAATACTTTTATCATTGCTTACAAAATCTTAATTTTCAAATTATTTGTGTGCTAGTATTTAATTACTCTATGTGCAAAAGTATTCTCTATTGCTGTAAGTAAACTCCCAAAAATATTGTGAAAATTGTCAAGGGCCAAATATCCTTCAATTTCAAATCCCCTCTAATCCAGACAAGGTTTAGGACGACGTCGTCCAGGTTTTGGAGGCGTAACTATGCCAATTTTAAGCAATCCGCTTATTCTTGACACACAGCATTAGTAGGAGGAACTAAGTGAGACTAAAAACAAGGAGAAACTAAAATGTAATAAATATTTGTCAAATCTGATGCAAAATTCTCATTACACTGCAAGGATACCAAGCAACACATGTCAGACAAAATTACATCACAGACCCACATGGTACGTAGCCAATTCAGAAAGGCGTTCCAAAGTTATTGCATGGAAACAATAGGTAAAAAAAAAAAAAATATACACTTAAATATGACACATTACTTAACTTTGTAAATCAAACTGAAAATAAATTTCTACCCTTGCATATAGTATATCATTTGTACAACTTTAATAATGTAAAGAAAAAAAAACTTTCCTAAATTAGTAATCTTAATTACCTAACCCCTCCCCCCCCACATCCACAAAAAAAAATGCTTTGGTCTATCCTGGATCCTTATTAAATTGTGCGACTTATTCTCTGAATTCGGTAACATTGACGTACATAAGGCGCAGAGCACATATTCTGAAGGTCCCGGATGTATCTTGAGATCATTCTAAGCTTCTCAAAGTTAATGAGGCCTTCAACCTTATCATCATTGCCCTCATGAGTGAAGGTTAAATCTCTTGCAACAACTGGATAGAATGGAATCTGAAACATAAACATTATAGTTAACAATAATTAAAGATATCATCATTTTCAGAAAATAATGTAAATATGTTGACATTTCAATTTTAAAACCTTAATAAATTTAAGAGTATAAAATGTACAACCTCACTGGAATAAAATTTGCATTTCCCATAAATTTTGTCTTTAATTTACATGGACCCTGTTAACCCTTCAAGTGTGCAAATTAAAAAATATAGGACATCAATTTAATGAGTCAAAATAGATATAAAAACAAAACTTTTCTTGGATTCACAGAATTAAATATCACTTTAATTACTGTATGATACTGATATCACTTATTCATATTTCGATAAAGAATCGGCTCTGTTTGTTTTCTGCCATGTAATATTTAAGGAAAACTTTAAAGACTGAAGAAAACTATGTACCCTTTTTGGTTTCAAACTTAATCATGTATTTTGCTTAAATATTTTTGAGTAGGATGATAACACAAACTCTATTATATTTTATAATTTTATATGTTTAATAAAAATATCTATCATTTTATTAAGCAATAATAGCAAAAGCGATGTCAGATCTTGGTAGTTAGCTACTGGAAGTTTGTAGTGCCTGGGAGCCCAGGGACGAGAGTATGATCCCATTGCATAACCTTAACATTTTCTCATTGTCATGCAATTTTACATACAAATTCAATATCAATAAAACTAATTATAAGAATTCCCAAAATAAAATGCACTTACAATTGGCGATTGTATATTTTCGTTCTGAACCAAGTTACGATATTTGCTCATATTTCTTGAGGGATCCATTAGTTCTTGCATTTCATGGTACATTCGTTGATACTTGGAAGGTAAACGTTCCCATGTCTGCTTCAGTCTGGAGACTGACCCGTGGCCCAGGCCAGATAGGATAGCAAACATTGAGTTGAAGTTTTTACACTCCTTACATTGCCCTGGGAAGGAGAATTTTAGTTTTTTCATGAAAATAAATATTATTTTATAAAGTACAATGGCAGTAAGGTACCAAAAAAAATATATAGTCTTCTTGCAAGCTGAAATAAAGTCATAGTTTTCTATACATGATTTAAATTAATAATTTTAAATAATGACAATAAGTATCCTAAAATAATAATTCAAAGTAATATATCAGGGGTGAAGTCTTAAACAATGACTACTACATTGTTTATATTTTCTATGATGACACCTACTCACTTCAGCTACAGTCATAATGATTTTCATAAATCACCGACAGTTTCTAAATCTAGATTATATAGCACGTGATTACTGTATGATGATTAGGTGTTATTCCGTTATTATGACTTGTATGTAAAGCGTGTACAGTACTGAAATTGTGTGTGAACACTATTATAAATGTACAACAATTTATGAAAAGTTTTTGAATTTGAGTAAACACATTCATACACTGCCAAGCTACACCTTCATCAAAACTTGGTCCAAATATGGCCTGGCTCTTGTCAACCTGTAGCTATGACTGCCATCAGTTTGTATAGCATGCTCCATCATCCATGACAAAATGTGGAAAGTTTAAAAGATGACCATGCTGGTCAAAGAAGACGAAAGATAAAACTCCTTATAAAAACTAAAGCGTTCTCCCGTAAACTTACTTGCTACTTTAATAAACTGCTTTACAGTCTTCGAACGTTTGACTAGATTGTGTTCCGAGGTGACTTCTGACACCACCCAAAACATTTCTCGATTCACAAGCTGAAAATGTAAAATATTTATACAATTACTACACAGTATTTCAAACATCATTATACTATTCAAACAATATGAAAGTAGAAGCAGAGAAATTTTTTTTTTATTATACCTGCAAGTTGATTGAAAATCAATGTATGCAATTAAAATGCAAAAGTAATTTCACAAACAACTTGCATAAAAGTTAAACAATTACCATATTATGCAGCACACGTCAATGAGGACTCGTATTGAGCTCATCAGACTAATGTTACATGCTACTCACTACTAATGGTACAAATTAGTACAGTAGTGAGTAGTAGCACTGTAGATTACAAATTATTAGTAGTTGTGGTACAAATATTGGTACTAATACAAATTACAATTGTATGAATTCTCCTAAAGCCAGAAATGTACATACCTCCGCAAACAGAGACAAAGCAGGAGTTCCATAATTAGACTTGAGATTAAAGAGGTAGTCGATATATTCTGTGGGCTCAATCTGACGAAATACTGTGTAGTCCTCAAGGGTAAGTTGAATGGCTAGCTCGACAGAGTTAAGCTGAAGGAAGTACACTGTAGACTCTCTTATTAATTCACTGACAATATCATCAGGAAAGAGTGTCTGGGAAACTGTGATATTCTTTAAATAATACCTGCTGCTCAATCCTGAAAAAAAATAATTAGTATGAATGTAATGAAACCCCCTCTTTCTAGTGGGCCTCTCCGTGGCTCCCTAGAACCACAGAGGCGGACCGAAACAGAAAATTCAATATTAACAGTTCTGTTGATATTTTACATAAGACAAGTCAAGCCTGGGCTTAGGCTGGGCTTCGGGAGTAGAAGAACTCCCAGACCCCATCAAGCAGGCAAAGCCATTAATATTTTTCACATCTATTGTACTGCTAATACAGAAAAAAAATCATGCAACAATAATGATAAAAAGTCTTCATACCTATTCTTTCTGCCAAATTCTGTAAGGAATCGGGCAATCGCTTTTGTTTCGTGATCCCTTCTTCTGTCACAGTAACCTCATATAAAGCATAATTGGATGAACCAGTTGGGTCATTAATATTGAATATTTGTAATGCAAGCATCACCACTTCTCGTGCTGTTGTCTCCTTGTGTACGGGTAGGAATCTTGCTTGTTGATCAGTTGCTCGGTATACCTGTTTGAAACATTTAACAAAATAGACGATTAATACGAGTGTGAAACTAGTGGCTTTTTATAATAGTTAATTTTTATGTTATATAAATTTATTTTTTATATAATTTAAATTTGTATACAATTATATAAATTTATACAAGTTAATTTATATACAGTAATAATAAACTTGTATAAATTTTAAGGAGATAGAATTTCAAGCTATCATTCTCTATAATCATTTAAGTTATTTATATCCATACTTTAGTTTGGTGACCAAAACTGAACTGCATAATCTAAATAGGACCTAACAAGAGTACAATAAATCTGAAAAATAACATTAAACATCTTGAACTGCTAACAGTTCTAGATAAAAATCCCTTCATCACATCTATCATATTCCACACATTTAAGCAGCAATTTTTTGGTTCAAGATTCTTGCTAATCATGTAACTAATCTTTTTTTGCATTCAGATTTTGCAATTTTAACATTGCCCAGATGGAATCTGGTATCTAGGCCAAGAACCTTATACAGTATTTGTTCATTATTAAACAGCTTTTGCCAACATTTTGTCCATTTTAGAATAAGATGAATGAGATGATGAGAAGAGAAATAAATAAGAGGAATAATTGCAAGAGTAAGAATAAAGTAGGAGGAGAATTATGAAAGAAGATCAAGGGAATGGAAATTTAACAGTTTTTACTCCCCTACGAATTTCAGCTAGATAGAGTTCTTATGAAATTGCAAAATTTATATAAATTACATCTTTGAAGGGATATTATGAATAATACAAAGAATTGTTTAGTCATTAACAATAAGCTTGGTTTTCCTTATCTTTCTGATAATGATTAAGGCATCAAAAATTTTGTAATTTATCATAAAAAGGGAAGATGGCAACATTTAATGAATATAGTGTACGAACAAAAACAACTTCACAAACACTAATATCTGTAAAATTTTACAAATAACAATTAAAGGAACAAATCCACAAAGGCCGTGATGAGGATTCGAACCTGTGTCCGGGAGCATCCCAGACACTGCCCTAGTCGACTGAGTGTGTCTGTGTCTGGGATGCTCCCGGACGCAGGTTCGAATCCTCGTCACAGCCCTTGTGGATCTGTTCATTTGATGCATCACGTTAGTGTGATCTCTGTGTGTAACAAACGCATTTTGACAGTCTCCATACATTTCTGTTTTCTGTCTTGTACACCTTTATTGTGCCTGCCACCAAGTTTTCACAATGACATTTTTCCCATGCTTCGAAGTCTGTTTGCTTCCTATTCTAAACCTCTTAGCTCCTCCTTGTCACCAATATCACTGTCTGGCCCCCACAGCACATCTAGCAAAACTTATACCAATCGGCTTCCCTGGAGCACGTGTTCATGTGCCTGGTGCAGAGGTGGAGGACTAGACTGTACTGTGAAGCACAACACTTCTTGCCTCCACTTTATGACGCGTGAAAAGTTAGGTATGAGGTTTACACACTTAATACACCAGTAATGCATTACTTCTCTGCCTGGAAGTTATCCCACCCAAAAACATACCTTTAAGACATGCTCTGGGAATTCAGTTCTCACATCGTCGTATGTTCCCGTTGTGCTTAGATCAGGATTGCTTTGGCTATGGTATAATCCCCCACCTACACTCGAGTGTGATGAAACGCTATCATCGCTGTTTGCTTGAGAGTCTCTGTAATCAAAATACCAATTAATAAAAATTAAGTAACTAGTACGAATGGATGATAATGCTGAATAATATTAAAATAATATTAATTAAAAGCTACTTCCATTATTTTCCTTATTACAATATTTGAGAGATTCATGTATAATTTATATTATACAGAACATACAAACAGGTATATGGATTTTATGAACTATTAAATAACATAACTAATTAAACAACAAAGAATAAATACTTACTGATCACTGTTCATGATTGTTAATAAGGAAGGAACATATTAATATTCAATTCCATATACTTAACATACATCCAATATACAAAATATTTGTATCAAATATCATGTCACTAATACGAACTTCCATCAATCTTGTAAAGTGTGTCGTATTTAGGATAATACTTTAAATATCTTTGGAAGACGCTTTTATTCTAAAATTTTGTACAAAGAGGCAAAGGGGACAAAACCATATAAGCAAAGACTCGTATTTAATACCACATGTATGAGCGTTACTTACTGTTGTTGGGGTCTAGATTGGAAAACCTATCTCACCACTGGGACCATGAACACATGTGGCGACTATAATGCCACAAAATATTGAAATGGGTTACTTCAGTTATTCTCATATAAGTATATACATTATCACTACTACCCTCCCCCCTTTATCGAATGGGGGAAGCATTAGCCCCAAAGAATTAGAGAACACGAAACTAGAAGGAAAAAGATATTATAAATGACAAACCTATTCATTCACCATGTATTCCACACTACAAACTACAGCATCACTCAGGACCAGCAGTCACAATCATGCAATACATCCACTTGCTTCCCCTGCTAAGGTGGCCACCATTTCTAGGATCTTCGGGTAACTGCCTGGAAAGGACTTGATATATGATGACTACCACTTGTCTTTTTGCCAATGTTGCCATTTTCATTATGCAGTTTGTGGTTCATCAACCTCTACCAGTTGACAATTTTGGCGATACCTGCTTGATGGGGTTCTGGGAGTTCTTCTACTCCCCAAGCGGCTTGACTTGTGAGAGTTTGGCCCACCAGACTGTTGCTTGGAGCGGCCCGCAGGCCCACATACCCAACACAGCCCGGTTGGTCCAGCACTTCTTGAAGAAAACTATCTAGTTTTCTCTTGAAGATGTCCACAGTTGTTCCGGCAATATTTCTTATACTTGCTGGGAAGGTGTTGAACAACCGTGGACCTCTGATGTTTATACAGTGTTCTCTGAGTGTGCCTATGGCACCCCTGCTCTTCACTGGTTCTATTCTGCACTTTTTTCCATATCATTCACTCCAATATGTTGTTATTTTACTGTGTAAATTTGGGACATGGCCTACCAGTATTTTCCACGTGTATATTATTTGATATCTCTCTCGTCTCCTTTCTAGTGAGTACATTCAGTGTGCCCGCAGTCTGTTCTCTGGCCAGGTCTCCTGGTTGCTCTAGCACCTCTGCCAGTGCTATTTCCTCAAACCCTTAGTTTTGTCGTAACAACAGTCTGTTACTATTTCTGGCCCTTCCGCCCAGTCATGATTAGCAGGAATCCAATTTAAACATCCTGTGCTGTATTATCTTTGTTAGCCTTGTCTTTGTTATTGCAATAATTGTGTCTGCAGCTCCAGCATTTGTGTAGCTGTACTACCTTATTTGAAACTATCTACACTAATATACCTAACTCTTATACAACTAACCTCTACTGGAAGGTTTTGTTCTTGACTGAGAGATGGGGGAAAGAGTTATTTTGTATTCAGTCAAACATGCATCCTGGTTGTGGGGAAGGGACATCTGGCTGGGTCATGTCCCCAAGATCAAAGTCGTTTTGCAGACTAATCTTTATTAGGTTCTGTCATGTTTACCGATTTAATTTCTCAATTTGTCTTAAGCCTCAAAGTTTCTTTGCCTTCTTCCCTCCTTCACCTGGCACATATCCAGGCTCAGGTCCACTCTGGTGTCTTGAGTGCACTCTCATATAACAATCGTTTGCCAATATATAATTCAAGGTAGTACTACAGTACAGTAGTTCTAAAAATAAAATTCACTGGAGAAGAGGGGACTAGAAAATGGTAACAAACAACTGAACACCAAGGTCACTCTCACCTTACTTCTCACAGTAACAGTGAATTCTTTAATAAAAGATCCATTTTAGTTTCATGTGAGAATGTCATGTTAGAGGACTTATTATTTTGCGAGTATAAACTTCTTTCATCCTTGTCCTAGTCTATTTGTGTCTGTGGAGAAAGAACTTGCTTCTTGGGACCTGCATGTTGATATACTTAAATATCACTTTTCTTCTAGATATCACTAAACTAGTGATGCAAGATTCAATTCCCTTGGCATGTCGTTGAAGCCCAACCCACTTTGATTTGGCATCAACTTTGCAGCAAATATCTGTTCTCTCAGCATTCTGCATGTACTTTATGAAATGCTGAAGTGGCATGCTCTAGTTCTGGCTCCACACAAGCAGTGTATAATGTAGCAAATACTTTCTTATTTAGAATCTTAAAAGACTTCTTTATGACCAGCATCATAAATCTTGTTAATTTTTACACGCAGAAATCACAATAGTGTGATGCATCAAATGAACAAATCCACAAGGGCTGTGACGAGGGTTCGAACCGTCTGGGATCCTCTCGGACGTAGGTTCGAACCCTCGTCACGGCCCTTGTGGATTTGTTCATTTGTTAATTTTTACTTTGTTAATCTAAATATACTCGTAATAAATATCTATGCTATATCTACCCCTCTGATATTTCCTTATTTTATAATTGCATGCAATGGATGACTATTGATTTTTTGGAGAGGCAGGGGGGGGGGGGGGGGGGTACTCAAAATTCAAGCTCGTCTTCCCCCTACTATGGCTTTTTATGTCAAAATTTTCCACCTAATTAGGGTATCCCATAACTTTCTAAAAGTTAACCCAAGGCCTGGTTAAAAAAGGCTTTGAAATATTACTCATAATAATACATACATTATTAAAATCTTAATTCTATTTCATTTTTAAAACATTAAATTATTAAAGAAATATTCAATATACTTACAATGCATTATTCTTTGGCATGAGAGACTCTATAACCTTCTTCTTGAGTTTGTTGGCTTTTGTCGTCATGAAGGAGCCCTTATTATTGCCAACTTTGCCTTTATCCCTGGGGGACTGCTGAATATGGTCAATTGGAATATTCATGGCAGAGGTAAAGGCAGAGTTGTGTGCCAAGTGACTATTAATATCAGCAATGCCACGTACATCTGAAGATTTCCTCGATCGTGGTCTTGGAGAATTTTCTGGTGTAGTTAACATCTCTTTGAATGCTGCAGGGACAACACGGGTACAAATTATAAACCACGATAATCTCCGTAATGTTAAGGTTAGATTAGGTGCGGAGTCGTGCAGAGCATTTAGGTGACATTAGGTTAGGTTCAATGTCCCTGTGGCAAGCATGCATGTACTGTTGATTTTTTAACAAATATTTTGTTTAATTGCATAGGAATGTGCCATAATAGAAACTAATCTTGGGCAGGGAAAGCCCAAGTGCTTTTTCTGCCCAAGCTTTAAATCCAGTCTTTATTTTGTATACGAGATCAAACAATATTCCAGGAATCCATTTTAGTGCTATTGCATTATTATTCATGGTAGGATTGAGTGTAATTTGTAGAATGAAGTATTACGTTGAATAGATGCTCTTTTGTTTTCAGCATCGTATATTTACTGCCTGTTGTACATAATGTTTATACCGGTGAGCGAGGATTTTGTTTACAATAAACATGCCATCAACACATGTTTCACTTCCACCAGATATACTGTACTGTATAACTATTAGTATATACTATATGTTTGTGTCCAAAGTTCCATTTCAATTAGGTTCTTTTTAACCTTTATTATGCCTAGGATCCCATGCATACCTATCACATTATTCTCAGGGCTTATTCCTACTTCCCTATTCAAACCACCCACAGTGCAAATAATGTAAATTAAAAACTTAATTGAAAAATTATTACCTAATAAATTGCTCTTAACAGTAATAGACAAGTGACAAGTTTGTCGAAGGATTTCAAGTGCTTTTGCATGATTCATATGATCAAAGCTCTGTCCGTTAACTTCCAAAATCTGATCACCACGCTTCAAACCAACATCTTCTGCCTTGCTTCCTTTCTCAACCTGAAAGTATAGTTTTTATTTAACAGACACGCCAATAATACTGGATTATATATAATCACTTAGGCCTCAAATAAATGAAAACTTCTATACAGTACTTATTTAAAAAGAAGACAAATATTTGCAAGTAACCGAAGACAATTTATTTGGCCTCTTTCACACAAGTTTTTTAGTGATTCTATAAAATTTCTTGCTATTATAGGACTCATTACCTTTGAAATAAATATACCATATCCTCTTTCATATCCTCCTAAAATGGAGAAATGAAGGATCTCATCCCTGCTAGGTCTTGTCAATGTCACGGTTCTTGCTCGAGCTTTGGTGGCACAAGCAAAATCTAACAAACGGAGCTGACCGGCCATTTTCTCTCTCTCTAAACCTTCTTCAAATTGTTCTAAGAAGTTCATCATGACTGGGTCCATCTCAAAGTCAGTGAAGTGGTTATTAACCCACAACAACACCACCCGAGTCACTCTGTCTCGCAGAGATGGATCTTCAAACCTGTAACACACCAAGATAAAATAGCACATACTACTATCGTATATAAACTGTTATCAATATAGTTTAGCATCAGTATTATAATACAATAGTCATGTAAGCAAATATCATACAATATATTGCCAATAATTAATAATACAAGCAAGAATTTACTGAACAAAAATTTGTCTTTACTGGAAAGTAATGAATAAATATATATGGTACAGTATTTGTCTTTATTCATATTTTGCAGCTTTGTACAATTTATTAATATAAAATTTAAATTTAATGAAATTACATGTATCTTACAACTGTTCTAGCCAGAAGTCATCAACATGTGCATATTTCATCAATCAAGGTGGCTTAGTTTCTTTTATTAATAAAGTTATAAGCTATGAGGTAGTTAATAACAATAATAACATAATCTTGGGTCGAGAACTACCACTCGGTGTTTCAAGGCTTGCAAATGGTTTAATAATAACAGACTAAGCTACCATGTTCATAAACAGGTTTCGCCGATGGACACACAATACTAGAAGAGTCCTGGCCCTGGAAAAGAATAACACCAGCTCTGCACATGCTTAGTTCTTACCATTGTAACAGTTTATTGGCAACTACAAGTGGAGACTCTATAAATGTTCTGTGAGTAAGCAAGAAGTCCTCCACATATGTTGGGTCCACATTATTTTCAACCTCCACCAACTGATGCATGAGTCTTTCAGCGGTACCCTACAATAAATATTATAATTATTACAATTACAAAAATTGTAAGATTTAAATGGGGGGGCTAAAAATTAGATCAAAGTTAACCTCACCGAAAATATTCGAAAGTTACTCGAGAGAGCATACCGAAACAAACTGTACTGTATACTACTCTGAAATGCCACATTTATATTAAATTATTACAGCTATTAAAATTTGACCATTTATCAGCACAAATTATTGCTTGGATAACATTTAGAAATGATACTTATACTCCAAATTAAAACAAAATTATAATAAAAATATTGTACAAATTCCTGTCATCAATATAATCGTGATTAACTTAATAAAGTTATTATTTATATAACTGTTATATAATGGGACACCAAAATGAGAACTATATTTTCATATACAATCATTTACTTACAGTTCAACCTTCCTCTTCATCTGTAACTATTCAACATTCGAGATATTGCAAATAATGTACAGAAACATGAAGACAGCACATGTACAGCAAAACCAGCCATGGTAGTTTTACAGTACAGGTATCTTAAAAAACCTGAATGGAATGGCTCCTATAATGTTGTAATCTAAGTGTAATTTTGTTTCAGAATATTTACTAATGATTTTTTTATTATTATAATTATTTGTTACTAATATGTCACCACAACCTTTGGTAACATACTAAATTTACAATTACAGTAACATAGCTTTCATAGCACCATGGAAGGAATCAAGATACAAAGGTTAAACAGATTCAAACGAACCTTGATGACAATATTGCCCTTTCTGTTGCCTGCATCTATAGGCCTCTGCTCAGTTACCAAGACCAGTACTCCATTCTCTTCATGACGGCGTATGTTCTCCTCAGACTGGTGTAGGATGCGATAATAGTCTGTCTGACGGATGCAAACAAACTGGCAATCGTCCACTTTGGAGCGCATGGTGCCTTGATGGTAAAGTTTCTCCATCGTTGGAGTGATACCAAAACTAGGAGAAAGAAAAGAGCTTTTGGTTATTGCATTTCATGTTCTTATCTGTAGGAATAGTCTTCAAATATAAAGTCCTGTAAAGACAAATCAAACAATGTTATTCTGTGAGATTACTCACAATCTACATTACACAACTATACAGTCATACTGGCTTGAGAGCTTTCTCGTAGTAATTACCTAACCTAAATTACAAGACCAAAAACAATCTTTTTATATACTCTATTTAACATTTAACACACTACTATACAAAGTACTTTACAGGTTACCCTCATTAGTAGGACTCTACACCATCAGGCAGTACAAATGATTTTCAAAAAGACTTTTTTGTTTTTGTCATCTAGCCTGTTTGTGTAATTTGTGTAAAGTGTAATTTATTTTTGTGTTACCTGTCTCCTAGATGAAGCTCATGAACGGAGCCATCAGGCTGAGTCACTTCAACGTGACCATTGATAATGACACTCCACGAGTCCAGCTCTTCACCGTGATTCATGAGAATAGTTCCAGCCTCCTCCACAACAGCAAAAACCTGGGGACAACATAAACATCAGATTGTGGCTTTTGTAAAGTTTGGGATTTTAAAGTTACACAATACAAAGACAGGGAGGGAAAGGGTGGGAGGGAGGGAGGGAGGGAGGGCGGGGGGAGGGAGGGGAGGAAAGAAAGGCAGGGGAAGGAGGGAGGGAAGAAAGGCAGGGGAGGGAGGGAGGGAAGAAAGGCAGGGGAGGGAGAAAAGGAAGGAAGGAAGGCAGGGGAGGGAGAAAAGGAAGGAAGGAAGGCAGGGGAGGGAGAAAAGGAAGGAAGGAAGACAGGGAGAAAAGGAAGGAAGGCAGGGAGAAAAGAAATGAAGGAAGGCAGGGAGAAAAGGAAGGCAGGCAGGCAGGGAAGGCAGCGAAGCAGATAAGGAGGAAAACAGAGCTGGAGGAGCGACCTACCATAGCTTGACACATAGCTTTCCTGACCGCCAGCGTCATGTTGGAAAATGCCCGAAGTCGCTGTGTGAACTCGAGCAACACCTTGATATCATCCTCCGTCCTCTCGCTGGGATCCTTCTCCAGACACTCCCGGACTGCATCCCGGACTGCTAAGCTCTGTCGAGACACGTCGATAGCAACATAAGAACATCAATCGACTTGATAATGGTCCATGACGGACCGAAACGTTGTTGTCTTTTGAATCTTTTAGTGTGGTTTGGTCAACATTAAAGGCGAAAGATTTATGCGTTTTAAAGGGAAACAAGATGAACAACCCAGCGGGTTTTCTTCCTTTTGGGGAGTGTTGTACATGCTGCTATGGCGGTGTGTTCACTCACATGATGAGTGGCGCTGCCCAATAAACTCTCCCCTCGGGGCAAAATTTAATTTGGTCAACATTCTGCAGCCACGTTATTGTAACTCACCATCTGCATAAGAACATTAAGATTGAAGGCATCTGCAGTCGGCCTATTGGCTCATACGAGGCAGCTCCTATTTATAACCACCTAATCTCATTTTGACCAGATCAAACACTAGAAAGTGAAGGAACGACGTTTCGGTCCGTCCTGGACCATTCTCAAGCATCGTCGTCCCTTCATTTTCTAGTGTGTGATCTGGTCAACATACTTCAGCCACGTTATTGTGACTCATCGCCTGCACCCAATCTCATTCATATATATGTCTAACCTGCGCTTGATCAAGGGACCAGTGTCCCACAGTCTGGTCGACGTTTTGTGCAGCCCATACATAGGTTTCAGATCTAAATAAATCATAGCTTTATATACAGGTGGTTTCAGACCTTAAGGAGTCGGTAAATCTAATTGTATCGTTGCAAATTAGGAAAGATTGAATACTATAAATCAAATGTATTTTATGTAGGATTTTTGTAATATAGTCTTAGTTACACATTGAGCTATGACCATAATGATATACATTTTACAATCTTATTTCAAGCTAACAAATATATTTAGTCAGGGTTACGGACAAAAACTGTAAACTACAGAAGGCCTACTGACCCATTTGAATATTAACCATAACTCGTTAATATCTTTAACGAGATATGGTTAATATCTCGTTAAAACCCTTACTTACGACTGAAACATTCCAGCGATCCCTCGTCTATTCAATAGATTTTCTCATCTCGCGTCTATTACGTCACAAGGTAATTGGAATGAATATTGAACGTGTGTGCAGTAAGTTACACCATTCTAATTAATTTTCGACTCTCCATTGACGCCGACAATTGTTACTGAGAAAAATATATGGATCTGTTCGCCCGGTCGACGGGTCGACGTCGATGCGGTCTATTTTAAGTTACAAAACTACAACAGAGACCAAGTTGACAACTTATAGAATCTTGAGCAGTGTTTGTGATAAGTCAGGTCTCTGAGTACCGTCACCCCACCGAGGCCTGACCTGACGTTGCCCAAGAACATTTTTCCCTAAACAGGCAACATGTAAATCCTTTCCACGTAACTTGCCTTCTGAATGTAAACAAAAAGACCAAAATTCATTTGTTTGAGAACTGTCATGCTTTTAAAAGTCATAATTTGTCTTCCCCGAAGATAAGTTTTACTAGTCATTGTGATTACCTCGTATCAACACGCCTCTTAATAACCTCAAATACTAAGCAGAGGCTCTACTTACCTCAATGCTCTCGGCCAAGTCTTCTTCGTCAGAGTCCACTGCGCTCTCTGTCAGACCCGAGAGGTCAACGTCGTCTGGCTCGAGGGAGGACTGTAAGGAGTGACACATGGTGTCAGAGCCGGAGTAGGCACTGGAGGTGTCAGAGCCGTCCCGCACGGAGGAGCCGACACTACCGCGACTCCTGGCGCCCCTCAGGATGGCGCTGCCCACCAGGTCGGGCAGGTAGGTGTCGTGGTGGGAGTGGTGGTGGTGCGGCAGGTGATGGTGGTGGTGGTGGTGATCAGCTTCGTACTGATGGTGGTGGTGGCCAGGTGGAGGGGGCGGCGCCCCACGACCCCCAGGCCTGATAGTGATCTCGTCTTGCTCCAGGGCCATCAACTTCTCCAAGTTCATGGTGTTGCACGACACGCGCTGCCCTGGACGCATCAACTGCACGTCTGGGTAGTCAATCTGCAAAAGAAAGAAAAAAATGTAATTCCATCCCATCTTTACATGTTTAGTTAAGTTTATTTATAACACACTAGAAAGTGAAGGGACGACGACGTTTCGATCTTTCCTGGACCATTCTCAAGTCGATTCACACACACAATCGACTTGAGAATGGTCCAGGACGGACCGAAACGTCGTCGTCCCTTCACTTTCTAGTGTGTAGTCTGGTCAACATACTTCAGCCACGTTATTGTGACTCATCGCCTGCATTTATAAGTGCAGTCCATACCTTGGGTTACTAATCTGCACACGGAAACAACATCTCAAGAAACCAGGAGGCATGGCAGCATGTGCAAAATGGTCCCATTGAAATGCAGAGGTGCAATAGGTACGCTGAGTGAGAACTATCAACCTCAAAGGTCCAAACCTTTTAAACACACTTCCGCTATATAAAGGGGCATTAGCCGACCGGCCTCTCACGGTATTCAAGAGAGAACTCGATAAACACCTCCAGAAGGTTATATATATGATCAACCAGGCTGTGATTCATACTGTAAAAGCTGTGAGCAGCCGCGTCCAACAGCCTGGTTGACCAGACGACCACAGCCTGGATGCCTGGGGCCAGATTCACGAAGCAGTTACGCAAGCACTTACGAACGTGTATATCTTTCCTCAATCTTTGGCGGCTTTGGTTACATTTATTAAACAGTTTACAAGCATGAAAACTTGCCAATCAACTGTTGTTATTGTTATAAACAGCCTCCTGGTGCTTCGGAGTTACTTAACTGTTTAATAATTGTAAAAAAAAAAACGCCAAAGATTGAGAAAAGATGTATTGGTTTGTAAGTGCTTGCCTAACTGCTACGTGAATCTGGCCCCAGGTCGGAGACCGGGCCGCGGGGACGTTGATCCTCCCTTGGGGATGTTAAATGTTTCTTTGGTTATCTTGAGGTTATCTTGAGATGATTTCGGGGCTTTAGTGTCCCCGCGGCCCGGTCCTCGACCAGGCCTCCACCCCCAGGAAGCAGCCCGTGACAGCTGACTAACTCCCAGGTACCTATTTACTGCTAGGTAACAGGGGCATTCAGGGTGAAAGAAACTTTGCCCATTTTGTTTCTGCCTCGTGCGGGAATCGAACCCGCGCCACAGAATTACGAGTCCTGCGCGCTATCCACCAAGCTACGAGGCCATCTTGAAAGACATCATACTTTGTATCATTAGAACACAAGGATCTCGTATATGCTCTCATTATTATTTAACATGCATTATTCATTTCTTCCCACCTACAGACAGAGAGGATTAACAGAGGATTAATTCATTAGCTCCTCCGACTCTCATTAATCTAACCGCCGACACTGCATTTATCTCTGAAATTCTATCCCCAATATTCTGTAACTTCAATTCCATCCTCATTATCTCACTCATAACATTTCTTAGGCATCCTAAGATTGTTCCCATGGTTTCTTTTTGCACCTTTATCAACTTGTTTAGATTACTTTTACAGAAACAAAAATGACAGGTGCAGCATAATAAGAAATGACAAGGGCAGCATAATCAATAAGAAAAGACAGGGGCAGCCTAATCAATAAGAAAAGACAGGGGCAGCCTAATCAATAAGAAAAGACAGGGGCAGCCTAATCAATAAGAAAAGACAGGGGCAGCCTAATCAATAAGAAAAGACAGGGGCAGCCTAATCAATAAGAAAAGACAGGGGCAGCCTAATCAATAAGAAAAGACAGGGGCAGCCTAATCAATAAGAAAAGACAGGGGCAGCCTAATCAATAAGAAAAGACAGGGGCAGCATAATCAATAAGACATCTCACAGTATACCATGTGTTTACTATTGGAATGTGAAGTGTAAAACTTGATTAATAATTGTATTCTGTATGAATTTGTGAGCCCCTTGAGGGACTTTAAATAGACGAGGATAGAAATTACCCCAAGCTACTCTATCCTTTTAAGATGTATTTTCTCAATAATTTTGTATTTTTTTTTTGGGGGGGTGGTTGCAGGGATATTTCTGCGCGTCTCCAATTGAAAAGTTAAGGTGCAATAAGTACATTAGGAGACAATTCTATAAACATCTGCCTAAAGGGCTTGAGACTTTCAACATCCTCACTGTAATGTGCATTACAACAGCTCAAGAGAAAACCTGATAAATACCTCAAATGGGATACGTCTTCTGCAAACAGATGAAGATTCGACTAATCAACCCGTCAATCAGCATACCTGGTCAGATCCAGAGACCACCTCAAGATAGGTCTTAGGTATGATATTTTACCACAATCATCTCGAATCCCTATGAGGCCGGACTTGGAGGTACTGTATATATAGATATCGGTAGCCATACAGCATCCGTACTCTTTGAGTACACTCCTCCAGCCACTCTCGATACACCTTACATACTCCACTCCATACTCCACTCTCTGGAGCATACCTGGAACCATGGGGTCAGATTCACGAAGCAGTTACGCAAGCATTAAGAACCTGTACATCTTTCCTCAATCTTTGGCGGCTTTGGTTACACTTATTAAACAGTTTACAGGCATGAGAACTTGCCAATCAACTGTTGTTATTGTTATAAACAGCCTCCTGGTGCTTCGGAGCTCATTAACTATTTAATAATTGTAAACAAAGCCGCCAAACAGTTAATGAGCTCCGAAGCACCAGGAGGCTGTTTATAACAATAACAACAGTTGATCGGAAAGTTTTCGTGCTTGTAAAATGTTTAATAAATGTAACCAAAGCCGTCAAAGATCGAAGAAAGACGTACACGTTCGTAAGTACTTGCGTAACTGATTCGTGAATCTGGGGCAAGTGTATTCCAGCTGTGTATAAGTCGGCAGTACACCTACCCAGGGAGGATCCAAGTGGGTGTAGAAGGCGGGGATCGGCATCGGCCATGACCACGCCTCTAGTCTCCCAGGTCCATACATGCCAAGCCTATGGCGTTGGAAGGAGTACGTCTCCCGGAGCTGCCTGGCCATCAGCGAAGTTCCCGCCAAGGAAGGCGGCGAAGTTCCCGCCAAGGAAGGCGGCGAAGTTCCCGCCCAGGGAGGTGGCAAAGTTCCCGCCCCGCGCCACCTCGTATCCCACCCGAACTTTGATATCATGGTTGACTTAAAAGGCAGAGTGGTATTGTCTTCTAAATTCTCTTGCAGTTCAAGCTCAAATACGATTTCATTTAAAGACACTGAATTCCAGAAGACTATTTACAGGTATGATAAGAATAACTAACATTAAGGGCCACGAATCTCATTTGAAATATAAATCCCGTTTCCTTTAACAATTTTGAGAATGTCAAGTGATCTGTAGTGGGTGGCGTCTTGCAGGCCTCGCTTGACCCACACGGTTCAGCCCACGGAGCCTTCACTACGAGCGTCCACTACCTAACCTGGAACTACACTACTACATTCGCTCTGGTTATCACCAGCGATTTCCGGAAAGATACGAACGGTGTTTCCCGCGTAAGGACGGCACACAGGACATCCCGTCTCCCCGGTCTCGGGAGATATGTGCACCAGCACACGTCCTGCGTGCCACAACAGCCTGCTTGATGGGGGTTCTGGGAGTAGTTCTACTCCAAGTCCGGCCCGAGGACAGGCTTGACTTGTAGAGAGTTTGGTCCAACAGGCTGTTGGACGAGCGTCCACTACCTAACCTGGAACTACACTCGAATCCCTATGAATTAACTTCATAGGGATAGACAGCCTTGGTCTAACAGGCTGTTGGACCAAGCCGAGCATGCATAGATCTTTTACAGGTAGAAAACTGAGTACCCAAATGAGCCACAGGGACGTTAGAAAGAACTTTTTCAGGTGTCAGCAGTTTACAGATGGAATGCAGCAGAAAGCGATGTGGTGGAGGCGGACTCCATACACAGTCTTAAATATAGATATGATGCTGGCTGGCTGGCTACTGTAGCTAGTGTGTCCAGGCGTCTGTGTGTCCATGAGCCTAGGCACCACACTGCAGTGCGCGGCTGTTGCTCTATCACAGGTAAGCAGCCAAGAGCTCAATAAGCTCGTAGATCTGTACACCAGTAGATTGACAGTTGAAAGGCGGGGCCAAAGAGCCGAAGCTCAACCCCCGCAAGCACAACTAGGCGAATACACCCCCTCTTCCCCCTACACGATTCATAAACGAATTCAATATATACGACTAACACGGCTTCGCGAAAGCCACTACTGTTCGCATATTTTCAGTTATAACTACTTGTGTAGACAAACTGTTTCCTTCCAGATACACTCAAACGTTCCAAACTACTTTACAAATGAAAAAAAAGGAGAATTTCGAATGCATTTTCCTCTTTCCCCGTTAGTGAGTACCTCTAATCCGAACGGGTGACAGCCAAGCCGATGATCAAGTACCAGGAAGCTTCGGATAAGGACTCGCTTTTCCGAGTACGATTGATACCGGAATCCGAGGTGGCCAGAGACGGGACTGCACTGCAGAGAGGCACTGACAGACGGGACGGGTAGACAGGAGGGCAGGTTAGAGCGGTGTATTGCGGCGACAGGAGGAGGGGGTGAGGTGGTGGCGTTTGCCCGTCACTGTCTCTCTCCTGTCGCATAAACGTCAGAGACGGGTAAGGTAGCCTTTACTCCCCCCCACCCTCCGATAACAACACGACCAACTGCTCACATCCACACCCCACCACATCCACACCCCACCACATCCACACCCCACCACATCCACACCCCACCACACTGCCCAATAGCCTCTGAAACTATACACCAGTTGAGACCTATGGGTTGCGAGGCGGGACCTAGGCGTGTGTGTGTGTGTACCTATAGGAACAACTGGGGGGGAATACTACCCACACTGCCACACCCACACTGCCACACAACTAGGCGAGTACACCCACACTACCACTCAGCAGAGGCCCTCACTCCTAAGTAAGACGTAATCTTACGTAAGATGATGATCTTACGTAAGATCTTACGCAAGATTCGACAGTGTGGAGCTCACAACACACAAGCCAGTCAGCTGGTGGAAGTACACAAGTGCGCCTTATCAGC